AAGACAAAAATAAAAATAGCACAACTGAAAACAACTCAACATTAATCTTTAGTAATTTTATTAGTAATATAAATGGTAGCAGTAGCAACAGCAATGAGAACAATAGTAATAGTAACCCATTTGTAACTAGTGATAATGATACGATGAACAATGGTATTAACGTTGGTGGCATTACAAAAGCGACTATAAATATTAATACTAATAACGTTTCGCAGTATCTTTTGGACAACCCTTCCACCTCCCCAAACACGAAAAGACCGCAAAATTGGTCCCATGACAATAAATTCGGGCCCATCCCTTATAGAATCATCCACACGCTGAAGAGGTTTGACGTTGAAATCATCTTTATCAACCCCACTCGGACAGAACTACCGCCATCTCTCTGGAGTTTTTTAGTGGCTGACGACCCGTCCGTCGATTATTTCATAATCAGGAAGCCGAATTTTAGGCTGAGCACCAGGGAGTTTGAGGCTGTCCAGCATTTCATCGGTATATCCAACGAATCTTTGTCACTAAACGCCAAAAATGGTTCGGCTCTCCCCGTTGCATTCCATTGCGTTCGGGACGCTCTGACGCACGTGAACTCATCCGTCGTTTCCGGATTGTGGGGTGGGAATCGAAGATTGATATCAAAATTGATCAAGCCGATGAAGATAGAAACTTTATTAGGAGATTTGTATCGCTATGAATCGTACAGAAGGATCAAATCTGACGATCTGGAGTTTATATTTTTGAATGATTTTCTTTGGAATAGATGGCACTCTCATTTCGTCTGTCACGATAGCGTTACTAAGGTTAATAGATCTCTGGTTAGGGCTGTCGGGTTTCCGAAAAGTTCTGGTTCGAGAAATTACCTGAACATCGTGGGGTTAAAGTTCAATCGGCACCATCTGCCAGATGAGCAAACGTGGTTGACGGAGGTCAAAAATCTGTCTTTGTACCCATAAGAATCATAATTCATTTTTGTTTTTATTTTGTTGTTGTTGTTTATTATTGTTTTGGTTTTGTTTATTTATATTTTATCTTTGATAATGAACGACATTGTTATCTTTTCAGTTCATTGTACCATTTTCATATGGATCGCATTGCATTTATATGCTCTCTTCAATGTTAATTTATTTTTCGGTAATCGGTAATGTTTATCGCTATTATTAATGTTATCATTATTGTTATTATTGATGTTATTAGTGATATTATTTGTTATTGAGACTTTTAGATGTATATGCCCAAATCGATTATTGATCCGTTTTTGTCAGTAACGAACGACATTTTTTTCTTTACATTTTCATAAATTTAGTTTAGTCATAAGTCCTACACATCTCAATCGAACACGTGTAGTCGTGATTCAAGCTGTACTATAGTTCAATTCTTGCACTAAAATTCCGTGTGTGTTGATTATTTTTTTCTGATTTTATTATCCGCATGATTGCAAAATAATAACGCATCATAACAATGATAATGTTGTTTATTATTGTTATTGTTGTTATTTTTATTGTTATCGGTGCTACCTTTGAAGTTAAAATCATACTGGTGGATCTTTACAAGTTTTACACTTATTATAACTTATTAATTAACACGCTTATTAATTGGTTAATTGATTACGTAATCAATTAATTATATAATTAAGCCAATTAATCATTCAATTATTTAGTCAAATTAATCAGTAGTCATATGTGTATGCGTTCAATTATGTAAATAAAAAATAGGACATCCTTCGTTCGTTGTGTTGTCGGTGTTGTTGTTGATATTGTTGTTGATGTTTTTGTTGTTTTTGTCGTTTTATATATTTATTTATTACGATTCTCCCTCTAATATTTTTTTTCAAAGACATCAACAACGAACTCACATTGCATATTTAAATACACGTGAAACAAAGCACCAATAGCAGTTTGCCAAGTAATTTACCTTTACACAATCTACTCTCTCTTATTGAAAGTAACAGATCACCCATCTTGACACGATTTTTCGATTTTTGTATAATTTTACAAACAACAGTTACTTTAATTATCATTATTTTTTTATCATGTTGAAAAAATTTCTTTTTTTTAAACGTGTTGCTATTTACGGCTATATTTACGTTTGAACAAAGTGTAAATACAGTATTTCGTAATAATGATGATTATTTTTTAAATCGATTTTACGCTATTTCACGAAGAAGTAATTAATAATAATAATAAGTAAATAAATAATAAATAAATAAATAATGATGAGTAAAAATAAATTATTTCGATGATGAAGTTATTAACGAACCATAGAAATTTTGCACAGATACTCATTTTAACCATTGTAACATCCACAATTATTTACTATAATTGGAAGGATAGAGGGCTCTATAAGTTTTGCACTGGACCGTTTTGTAGCATTTCGAAGCAATTTCTGCTGGGTTTAAAAGCCATAAAAACGGATGATGAAGTTGTAAATTCTTATCTGAGGACTTTGGAGATCTTAATAACCAACTTGCTGGCCAGAGAAACAAACAACAGTGAGGTGTCGGTTACTTACTCGGATCGAATAGTCGATCCTCATCGCCTAAATGCAAGCGAAAGAGCTCGGCATGTTGTTGTAGGAATGGGCATTACTTCGACAAACTATCACAATCCAAACCCCAAAGATTTAATATTTTTTACTATTTTTTTAAAAACTTTCTGCACCAGTATATCAGCATCTAATAGGATCTTCCACATGTACCTTGCGTACGATTATAACGATGCTTTATTCACTTCCACCCGATTCAGCAAATCTTTCATAGAGCGTTACTCCGATTTGAAAAAAGATTTGTGCCCTGACAAAAAAATTACTCTTACACTTTTAAGATGTCCTCACAATAAAAAACCGGCTTGGGCACAAAATGACGCCATGATGGAGGCATATTTGGACGGATTCGATTATTTCTACCGCGTGAACGACGATACTAATCTATCTACAAGTGGATGGGACGACATTTTCATTAAGGAATTATCTCTATTTAATCCGCCAAACGTAGGCGTGGTTGGACCCAAGCATTCAGGGGGAAATGAAAATATATTAACGTACGACTTTGTGCATAGAATGCACATTGATATATTTGGATACTATTATCCTCGCACATTCACCGATTGGTACGCCGACAAATGGATCACAACGGTTTATCGACCGAAAAACTGCAAAAAATTATCAAATGTCCGCGTCATCCATCTTCTTGTTAAGATGAGATATCTGCCTAGAATGAGCCTCAAAAGTGATGCAAAACTCCTTCTAAAAACACCAATCTTAACAAAGTTTGTTTCCAGAACACATTTTTAGTTTTTCAAGCAAAAAAATTATTGAAACGTGTTTTTTTCAAAACTTTAGGCATTTATCAAACGCTAGAAAGTCATTCTCTGAAATTAAAAAGTCGTCTGTGAATAAGGTGATCTGCATGACCTTGGACCAGAATTCTGCACCGATAATTATGGGCGCCATAAGGAATGCTCTTCTTACTCCTTTGACATTTCCTGGGTGGAAGTTACGAATTTACGCAATGTTTCAAGACAATGATCGGCTGAATAGAGGCCAAAGGAATGACCATCCCATCAAAATTCCATTCAGAATCAAACGTTGTTTAGAGAGACTTGGCGCAGAAATAGTTGAAGTGGATAAATTCTTTCCTCAAATTGTTATAATGGAAAAATCTGAACTTAAGCACCCATCATTTATGTGGAGTTATTTAGTTATTGATGACCAAAAAGTTGATTATTTTATAATCCGAAAGCCTGAATTTCGTTTGAGTTCTAGAGATTATCTACTCGTCAACGATTTTTTCATGAAATCGGAAAATCGATTTAATCGAAATTCAACTCATCTTTCAAAAGGAAAACCTTTACTAGCGTTCCACAGCATTATTGATTCTGAATATTTTCAAAATTTCACATTAGTTCCTGGTCTGCTGAGCGGAAATGTCAAGGTTATCCGTCATTTATTAGGCTCGTCCGGTAATTTTATTCAAACTGTGTTGAATCATACAAATGAGAACGATGATGAATACAAATTTTTGAATTTTCTCTATGGAAAATTTAAACAAAATTTTTACCGTCATGATCCATCAACTTCATGTGTTCATTGTGACTCTAAAGAGCCTAGAAACTTGTATAACATTCTAGGTTTAAAATATAACCAGTTTCATATACCTCAAGACGAGTTGTGGTTCTATGAAATAAGAAAAAAAAATCACAGTTATCCGAAATAGTTATTTTTACTTTTGTTTTGTTTACAAAAAATATAAATTTAAAAAAACGCATTTAAAACTTCAAATGTTTATAAAAAAATATGAATAATAATATTCTAAATATAATTGTAGAAGCTGCATTTCACATTATTTATATTTTATAGAGTTATTTGTCAATTGGCTAGCAGCCATTAATCAATTGAAGATGAGAATAAAATGACAGCATATGCTCCTAAATTAACAATAAGTATAAGTGCTATATTTCAATTACTACACAAAAAATTTTCATTGAAAACTAGACAACGCCCTTTTGCCAAAACAAATGTACGGGGGGGTACTTTTTTCCATGACAACGGCTAAGTAGAGAGGAGTGCAAGCGTCTTTTAACCTTTTAAAACGAACCTAAACATAAATAAGTTCGTCAATAGGTGTCGTTTGAAATTAATTTCATCTAATTTTCAACGTGGATTAATATTAATAAATCTAAATAATTTCAAAAATGTTAAAGTACCGTGAAAAACTTACCCTTCTTACATGTTTATTTTTTTTGACGATTTTATCAATTTTATTAACTTACTGCATTGAATTCGGACGCAAATATCAATTAAAATTTTTCAATGGACATTTTATTATGAATTCAACATCATTACAAATTGATAATAATAATATGACAACAAAGTTTGTTACGAATTCAAACTCAGTACGAACCATGGATAATGCGACAAGGTTTATCATGAATTCAACATTACCTACCAACGATAAAAATATGGCAAAGTTTATTACGAATTCAATATCACTACTAGCTAATGATAGTAAAATGTCAAAATTTATCACGACGTCAACATCAGTACGAACAGATGATCCCATGGCAACACTTGATCGAAGAATTTTAGGAATTCTTAAGTCCGACTTGACATACAAAATTACAAAAGGTGTTTTGTTGGCTACTTACTCGGACCGATTAGTCGATCCTCATTGTTTGAATGCAAGCGAAAGAGCTCGGCATGTTGTTGTAGGAATGGGCATTACTTCGACAAACTATCACAATCCAAACCCCAAAGATTTAATATTTTTTACTATTTTTTTAAAAACTTTCTGCATCAGTATATCAGCATCTAATAGGATCTTCCACATGTACCTTGCGTACGATTATAACGATGCTTTATTCACTTCCACACGATTCAGAAAATCTTTCATAGAGCGTTACTCCGATTTGAAAAAAGATTTGTGCCCTGACAAAGAAATTACTCTTACACTTTTAAGATGTCCTCACAATAAAAAACCGGCTTGGGCACAAAATGACGCCATGATGGAGGCATATTTGGATGGATTCGATTATTTCTACCGCGTGAACGACGATACTAGTCTATCTACAAGTAGATGGGACGACATTTTCATTAAGGAATTATCTCTATTTAATCCGCCAAACGTAGGCGTGGTTGGACCCAAGCATTCAGGGGGAAATGAAAATATATTAACGTACGACTTTGTGCATAGAATGCACATTGATATATTTGGATACTATTATCCTCGCACATTCACCGATTGGTACGCCGACAAATGGATCACAACGGTTTATCGACCGAAAAACTGCAAAAAATTATCAAATGTCCGCGTCATCCATCTTCTTGTTAAGATGAGATATCTGCCTAGAATGAGCCTCAAAAGTGATGCAAAACTCCTTCTAAAAACACCAATCTTAACAAAGTTTGTTTCCAGAACACATTTTTAGTTTTTCAAGCAAAAAAATTATTGAAACGTGTTTTTTTCAAAACTTTAGGCATTTATCAAACGCTAGAAAGTCATTCTCTGAAATTAAAAAGTCGTCTGTGAATAAGGTGATCTGCATGACCTTGGACCAGAATTCTGCACCGATAATTATGGGCGCCATAAGGAATGCTCTTCTTACTCCTTTGACATTTCCTGGGTGGAAGTTACGAATTTACGCAATGTTTCAAGACAATGATCGGCTGAATAGAGGCCAAAGGAATGACCATCCCATCAAAATTCCATTCAGAATCAAACGTTGTTTAGAGAGACTTGGCGCAGAAATAGTTGAAGTGGATAAATTCTTTCCTCAAATTGTTATAATGGAAAAATCTGAACTTAAGCACCCATCATTTATGTGGAGTTATTTAGTTATTGATGACCAAAAAGTTGATTATTTTATAATCCGAAAGCCTGAATTTCGTTTGAGTTCTAGAGATTATCTACTCGTCAACGATTTTTTCATGAAATCGGAAAATCGATTTAATCGAAATTCAACTCATCTTTCAAAAGGAAAACCTTTACTAGCGTTCCACAGCATTATTGATTCTGAATATTTTCAAAATTTCACATTAGTTCCTGGTCTGCTGAGCGGAAATGTCAAGGTTATCCGTCATTTATTAGGCTCGTCCGGTAATTTTATTCAAACTGTGTTGAATCATACAAATGAGAACGATGATGAATACAAATTTTTGAATTTTCTCTATGGAAAATTTAAACAAAATTTTTACCGTCATGATCCATCAACTTCATGTGTTCATTGTGACTCTAAAGAGCCTAGAAACTTGTATAACATTCTAGGTTTGAAATATAACCAGTTTCACATACCCCAAGACGTATCATGGTTCTCTATTAGATGA